AAATTAGGAATTTGTTTTATAATCGATTTCATATTTTGTAAAACTTTAACGAATTTTGAGTAACAAACTCAGCGATTTCAAAGCGAGCAACGGCAACACTCTACGGGAAAAAAAAAAAAAAAAAAAAAAAAAAAAAAAAAAAAAAAAAACAAAAACCAACCCCTTTTTTTATCTCCAGCACGCGGAAGACTGTGTATCGGAAATGTAAAGGTATGCTCATTTTAAAATTATTTTGAAACATTGCTGTTGAACTGAATTTGTGGTTTTAAGTGCAAAGAACATGATATTTAATAAATTAAGGTAACACACAAAACGTTAAGAAAACGCTCGTTTGGACGTAATTTAAAATCTGAAACCTTTCAGATTTTTTTTTATTATATGTAGCTTTTTTTAAAGCTGTTTTAATAAGTACATAATTTAAGAAAATTTCCAAGCTTTCTAAACCATTTCGAAACAACCGGAGATTACGAGTCAAAGAATCGGAAGGAAACCCAGAATCTTCTAGCCAGCAAATTTTCGACATTTTTTTTTTTTTTTTTTTTTAAATGGCATTAGTTATTTTAGGCTTTGGCCACTACTAAGACGAGAAACGGTGAGCATATTTCACAAGTGCACATCAGCGTAGCCACTCAGGGAGGGGTTTCGAAAAAAATGGACCAATGGGCTTCTATTGCTCTTAGGACGCTAAATCTTCGTGCATGTGAGCATATGTTGTTTATGTTTTAATTTTGCATTTGTTTCCCAGTTATAAATGTACGGCGTAATAGTAGAAAATCTCGTAGTACTTTCGTTTTAAGTGTTTAATTAATTGCTGACATTTCACTTTCGCGATTTTTATCACGCATTATTATTTGGATTGATGGTCACGGCATATTATGGCTCTTTACATGAAGAAAATGACTCAGACTCACGCTACAATTAGCCTCGAATATTACGCATTTACTAACACCTGTGGTTTAACAGAATTCAAGTGATTAGTTTTTTTTTTTAATTGAGCTAAGAAGGACTGAAAGTGTTTGCTGAGTATTTCTTGTGTAGACAGTATATTTAAGAGTGAGCAGTTTTTAAATGTGAAATTTAACACACTAAATAAATACAAATGCAAATTAGTGAAGTTCACTTTGAATAAAATTCTGCATTGGCTACTACTATAGAACATCTTTTTTCATGTAGATTGCAATAATAAAAAGATGCTGACTTCTATTTACATATATAATTGGGTGTAAATATTTTTCTCATGTGCATAGTTTTATGTAAAGATAGCGTTTGGGATCAGATGTTCATCACATATTTCTTTCTTCATCTTATTTACCTTTTATTAAGTAATATTTCAGATGGATATTTTTGGAGTGTCCAATATGTGTTTGTATTTATTTCAAATTTTTTCAACCAGATAGTGAAATCTTCACAATTGTTTATATTTGATCTAAATTCGCAATGAAGACTTTCAGAAGAAATCGACGTTGCTTTAATTATTTTGTACATAAAATTGCGTGGCAAAGTATTTTCAACCCTCTTGCTTAAATCTTAAAGCACGCGAAAGGTCATGTGACGTGACAGAAATATTACTGTAGGCCCATTGGTCCAGCCTAGAAGCCACTTCCTCGGTGGCTACACAGATGTGCATTTGTGAAATATGCAAACGGTGATCACTTTATTATGGAGAAACCTAATAGGGAGCCACCGTTGCCTTCTACAATTTTCGTCCATGCCCCATCTCCGGGATTCGAACGCGGGCTTTTTGGTGCGGCAGTCAAAGTCACTAACCACTTTCCTGTCTAGGTGGCATTTTTGACATAAACTGGTGGTAAATCTACCGAAATACTTTAGTATTGTATTTACTACGGCAAAAGCCTCTGAAAATAATTTGTGTAAAAAAAAAAAAAAAAAAAAAAAAAAAAAAAAAAAAAAAAATGAAGGGTTCCAGATTTTAAATTACGTCCAAAGGAAAGTTTTTCTAACATTTTGTGTGTTACCTTTTTACTTCCTTGTTCGAAGTAAAAAGGAAGTATTGTAATCATGAAAAGTTTCAGGCAGCATATTTCAACGAAAATATGCATTTTGACCGCTATCGAATGCAATTTAACGATTTTTTTGCGTAATATCTGTACGTAAGGACAGAATAAAAGACTCGTTTCCTCCAAAAAAATTATAAAACTGTTTTAAATTAATTCTGAAGAGAATTTTTCGTGGCGTCTGTACGAACGTATGTACGTACGTGCGTACGTACCTCGCATAACTCAAAAACGAGTAGCCTCAGAACGTAAAATTTTATATATAGGACTGCTATAACATGTAGATGTGCACCTCGTATTTTGGTTGCAATCGGCCGCACCAAACGTATATAAATATATTTATATATATAACCACTCTGTTACCCGGCTCAGTGATCTCAATTTCTTTACTCTTATATGTTTGTAAATTGTACATTTTTGCTTTAAAAATGATTGTATTATGTTGTTTTTATCTTCCGGTTAAGGTTTTTATGCCTTTAGTAAATCTGTATGCGATATGTTTAGAATTATAAACAATTTTAAAAGTATTTGTCTAAGTGCCGCCAAGCCTAATAGTTTTTTTTTATGACGGCCATTGCTTTCTTTTATTGCTTGTTTACATTTGAAAACAGAACAGAGACTAGTGGATTTGTTGCCAATCTAGAGAAACTTAGCTTCGCAACAACAAAGATAACGCCTTCATCTATTATTGCCAATTAAATCATGCTTAATCCTTTCTGGAATTTTTTCGAGGAAATAAGTGTTTAAGATTTACTTCGTAATTTTTAATAGAGATATTTTGAGTTTTTATGTATTTTTGCCTTCTCGCGAAGTGAGAACTGAAATTAATTGAATGAGAAATATTCAATCGTCTGTGAAAAACTGTTTTCTTTTTTGTTTTGTTTGCTTAATTTCTTTTATACATCATTCTAGCTTTAGTATAGCATTTGAATAGAACATGTGGCAACGATTAGATAATTCTATTCTTTAAATGATATAAATTTTGAGCATTATGTGTTATAATATGAACGAAATATAATACTGTTAAGTGAATCTAGCGCCAGACTGTCGCTATGGTAAACAAATACTAGAGTGAATTTTAAAGAATGCATTTATTCTACTGTGGTTTATGCACTGTCGGCGAAGTAGATTTAATTCAATCCAATAAGTTTAAATGAAATGCAAGAGAAAATGCGTATAATTTAATATTCCGTACAAGGAAGTCATGTGGTGTACACATCAGATTTTTTTTTATTAAATATCACGTTCTTCGCACTTAAACCATAAAATTCAGTTCAAAAGCAATATCGTAAAATAATTTTAAATTGAGTATATCATTAGAATTTCCGATACACAGTCTCACGCGCTGGAGATAAAAATGTTTTTTCGGTACAACTTTGCCACTGCTCACTTTGAAAACCTTGAGTTTGTTAATCAGAAATTCGTTAAAGTTTTACAAAATATGAAATCGATAATAAAACAAATTCCAAATTTGGGCTTCCAGATGACCATATTCGGGAGTAGGATTACGTCATTCAAAATTCGTTGGCTTTATGTTCCGTTGTTTTATCACAATGTGAGAAATATACATACATTTATGTAGATTCTTCATTATTTAACTTCTTCAAATATAATACAGGGCGATAATTTTTGGTGGCAACAGTTTGAAAAGTGAAACGACATTCAGAGTGATTCGATGCAAATTCCCAAAACGAAAACATTAGTCCCTCAGGGACAGAGCCCCTTTGGACTAATACAATTCGTTCATCATTCAATTCAGCAGTAATCCCGTTTTTAATTAATTTCATGAGGAGATTGATTTCATTGGTGATGCACCAATGTTGATATTAATATCATCTACTGTATTTTTGGAAATTAAACTGCTCTGTACATATGATGTTAACAATATCGTCTGCTGTTTCGTTTGACTCAGTTTCTAGACACGAAGGGATGGGTTAATTATTTATTCCCTCTTCTTGGTTTAATTTTGTTTTATATCCTAGACAGTGCTTTTGGCAATGAGATGTGTATGTAGTATGACTGGTGGTTTCGGCCATGCCCCACCAATGCTTAATGAGCAAATGTACATTCATGTGTACAGGGGGGCAGGAATCTTTGGAAATAAAATTAAATGCTGCAATGGTTTAAAAAAAGTAAACATTCTAATTGTCATTTGCAATAAACTTCTACTGATCGCTAAATTTCGGAAATAAATGAATGGAATATTTTAATCAGAGATCTAAAACTGGTGGCATTCGAAGTAATTTTATGCTTTTCGCGAATACATTTTAATTATATATTTGTTGCAAATATTTCAGAATTTTTGATGTATTAGATTTTCGTTGAAATCGAACATAAATAACGCATCAGAAAATTAGTAAATGGATCTGATTTATTTACACTGGGATATAAACCTCATTCAAAGATATGAAGATTTTATTACTTTACAGATTCTGAAGATACAGATTACTTGTCAAAAATGAAAAAAATGAATAAACTCAGTTACGAATTTTTGCTCTAAGAATAATCTCACTATCGCCTACATTTATATGTGAATAGTTTTTTTTTATTTACCTTTGAAAATTAATCAGAGAACAATTCGATTGAACGATGATCATTTACGATCAGTGATGGAGATCTTACAGGTAACAAACTTTAGATTTCGAGTAGAAAATAAATATAAATTTGAGATTTTTTACTTTGTTTTATTACTTACGTATAGTTTAAGAAATGTTTAATAAATGAAACTTAAAATTTATGTAAAGTATTTTGTTAATAAAATGTTCATTATATATAAAATTTATATACACACATATATATTATATACACACATAAAAAAAAATCTGGATTTCTTCTTTTAGATAGGGATTTGGCCTAACTTGAGTTTAAGATCACTGGCTTAATTCATAGTGCCGTTCAGGGGTTCAAAATTAATTTATCGGTTGAAGCTTTCCTGAAAACTTCTATTTAAACTTCACTTTCAAAATGGCGCTGTTTTCTAACGTATACGTATCAAATGTACTCCAAATCTTTTAGTAATGGTGGTATAGTTTATAGCTTTCTATCTTCGTCAGTTTGCCACTTATTCTTGTGTTGTAATAAGTGATTTAAAGTCCAAATATGGGGTGTACCGCTACAGGATATAGAACATTTCTCATTTGCTGCAATTTCGCATTATTGGTAATTTTAATATTTTTGTTAATCAAAATATTTTTGTATATTGTAATTCCTATGTTACAGAAATGAGTGATGCTAGTAGACTATTCAATACAAATCTTGTTTTATAACGAAAACGGTGAAGATATGGCGTGATAGGATAAATATGGATTCCTCATTTTTATGAGTAATTTATTTCTCAGTGCATTGATTAGATATCTTGTCTTTTAGTGTAAAACTCGGTTTTAATTTCGATATAATATTTTAATCTTTGATAAATTACTCCGAAACTTAATTTGATAAGTTATTCTTAGCTAAAAAAAAAATTAGGACTTTCAAAATTTATTGTAGCTCTTATTGTTAAAATTTCGCTTTCTCCTAACTTCTTAAACGTGGAAATAATATACCACTAGCTAGTATATGTAACAGTAGAATAAAAATTTTCTTTGTTTAAGAAATATTTGTGTAAATTTCGATTTATTTTTTTAATTTTATGAATGCTGTATTGAATTTAATGTGTTACTGCTAGAGGAAAAAATCCATTTATTAACGGAAAAAAATCGAAGATAAGAATATCGTCGCTATGGGATTGGAAAAACTATTAAAACGTATGATTTGCAGCTTTAACAACAAAATTCTGAACGATTTGTTTTTGATGAAAAAAATGATTTTATTAGAAGTGTGATATTTCTGGTCTGTATTTGATTCCGAATGTAATAAATTCGGCTTCAATATTGCGTTCATAGGAAACTGGACTAAAATACGAAAAGTAATCTTAAAAATGTTTGCGTTAGATTTCATTATAAGATTATGCTAGATTCATATTAGATTTCATTATAATCTCCAGTCTCTCCTTCTCTTACAATTATTCTTACTGTTTTGAAAAGATTGATTTGATGTGAGGTTATTTTTCTTGCTACACAATGCCGACTTGAAATTCTTTTGGTGAGTTTTTCATCCGTAGCGCGTAAATATTTATGGAAAAATAAAATATGCCAGATTTTATACTTAAACTGCATAGTGTTGCTTTTCTTGTTAAAAAAAACTCTGCTTTTTGCCGATGATAAAGTCGTCTGTTGTCATACATTAAATAATTACTGAAGTTACCTTAGATTTCATTATACACGCTGGCTAGATTGGAGATTACAGTCCAGTCGCCAAGTGAAGCGAAATGGCGCCAAATCTGGTAACCTCTTCTCTTAAATACGAATCAATGCTTTCAGATCATTTATTGCTCATTATTACAATTTTTTAAATTTCGTGATAAAACGCTTTACTCCGTTTTGTTACCGTCTTAAAAATGGTATATGATATTATATAAACTTTTAATATTGTTGATCCTATAAAATACATAGTTGTTAACTTTCAAATACCTTAGGTAAAGTGCAGAATCGCCCACTTATTTGTTTAGCGTTTGCAAGAGTAAGAATAGGATTTTTGTCAATTTTCTTTGACTTTTTAAATGAAAATAGGTCGATGTGTACATGGATAAAGGCAAGGGAGTGCACATTGCCATTTTTGTGCAATTCTGGGATTTTTTTAAATGAAAATCGGTCGATGTGTACATGGGGTACCGAGTATGTGCAATTCTTAAAAACGCGCCAAGCAGTGGGTGATTCTGCACTTCCCCCTTTTTCGATGTTTTTCTTGGAAGTCCTGTTTCAGATATTTTTGCATGGTTACATTATCTATTTTTGCATATTTATAGAATTAATTCAAATTCGCAACCATCTAACATGGCGATATGATGAGTTAGCGATTTTCTAAAACGCGAGAAAACAACCGATTTGGCGACTTGGCAATTTTTTTGAAAACGCGCCAAACTGGACCGTAATATCCATTTTTACCTTAAACGCCATATTTTAAATGTCCTCTTTTTAACGGCTAATTATAGGTATTTTGGCTTTAAATGCAATGTAGTGATATGTTTTTTGAACTTGGTAAATGAATACCTAATAAATCTCTTTAGTAATAAGACGGCAAAGCAAACAATTTTTGATGTAAGAAATTCAGAACTGTTTTAAAGTGCTTACCAACAGCGATTCTTTAGATGTCCATTCATTGAACGCTATTAGAATTTAAACTGAGGAATTTCTCTTATTTATTTATCTCTGTATTGTTTGGGAATTTCGTGCAGAAACTACATGAATGATTTCTCTTCTGTATTATATTTCGATATCTAAATCTACATGGATTAAGTCCTTACCAATTACTAAACATGTTTGGGAGATAAACAATGCAAAATTCTTCCTTTCAAATGAATTTGTGTCTGTCGTTTCCTTTTGCAAGAGTACATCAGAACATTTTTGCTTTTGCTGGTGTCTTTTCGAGAAAACGTAGACCCTTTCAAATCTCCAGTCTCCTTCTCTTACTGATAATTATTCTTACTGTTTTGAAAAGATTGATTTGATGTGAGGTTATTTTTTCTACTACACAATGGCGACTTGAAATTCTTTTGGTGAGTTTTTCATCTGCAGCGCATAAGTATTTATAGAGACATAAAATATGCCAGATTTTGTACATAACTGAAACTGTTTGCTCTTTTATCAGTTTTTCTTGTTCAAAAGAACTCAATTTTTTGCCGATGATAAAACCGTCAGCTGAGCTATACATTAAACAATTACCGAAATATTGCAACATCATGATTTCTTTTACACAAACCTAGTGACCCTTTACATTAAATTTACATTTTGACTTAGTTTGGCATATGTGCTTCATATTTTAATTTGTGTAGTCTTCATGTAATTTAGCTTTTGATTGACGATTGTATACGGAAAAGGAAAAGTAATTCGAAACAGATTTTGAAACATCAAAAACGAGATAAAACAATGAATATGAAAAGAATAAATTGCTAATTAACACTTGGATAATTTACTATAACTGACTCTTAAAACAAATTAATTAGGTTATAACTGGCCGAGGGGCTGGAGTAGCAGAACACTGGTAGTTTGATTTCGGATTCGGATTCAGTTCCTGGATAATGATTGTAAAATTAGCCGTATTTAAATACAGTAAACTAACCAATTCCGGGCAGATCAAATGGCAACATCAATAAGACAGCTGAACACTAGTTTTCGGTCCGGGTTCGAATGGTGGTGAACGAGCTGGCTGTATAGGCGTGTTTGTGTATTTTCTTTTATGTAATGTGACTGTGAGCCAATTTCCCTTAAAAAGCATATCCTTTTCTTGTCAATTAGCCCTTGTATGTTTTGCTCTAATAAACTCGTCCAGTCTGACAGACCAATGGGCTGGCTTAATGAGATTAATTACATTTTGTAAAAACTCATTATAGTTTCACTTGCGTATTTGTTTTTGCAATCAAATTATAAATTAACTAGGGCGTACAACAATGAAAAAAAATTACCAGTTACGATTTTCATATTCACTTGATTGTTATTTTTAAGTCATGCATCAAAACAAAATTATTTCCTTTCTTTCAATCTCTTTTTAGGATACTCACTTTTACAATCTTCCATTACTTGGGATACTCGTCACTTTTTACAATGTGTTTTACTTAGGATACTCACTTTTAGTCTTTCATATTCTGCTAGGGGGTTTCACTATTTCTTTTCTGAAAGTTAAAATTTCGTAATATGTAATTTTTAAAGTTTTTCTTTGTTATTTTTCACAAAGAAGTTTATGAAACAGGTAAATCGACAACCTTGTATTCGGCGTAGATTTTGCAAAATCCCAATCGATTTCGAGGGCAAAACGGGTTCCCCTTCAACAGGAGCAAAAAATTCTGCTATTATCATCTGCTCCTGATGAAGGAGGGGGGACCCGTTTTGCGCTCGAAATTGATCGGGATTAAAAAAAAAAAATCTACTCCGAATACAAGGTTGTCGATTTGCCTGTTTTATTTTCTAACTATTTCTGTTTAACGTCGGCGTGTTTTTTTCTTGTCTTAAATAAGTTTATTTCCAAAATTTATTTCTGTAATCAAATATGCTAGTAAAGTACTTGGTATATCTGTTGCTTTAATTTTGATAATTGATTTAGCAAAATTAAAGAAATATAACATAAATCGGAGTAATTTATTTAAGTCCCATGTTATTACTTTTCAGGGAGGACGTTTTTGTTGCTATGCAATGTAATTTATGTGCAAGAGATTCATTATCTCTAGTGATGATATACAAGCTATTATTTATCACCTGCTTCGCCATTAGGCACTACACAGAAAGGGAGGGATTTTCCATTGGGGATATTTTAAGGTAAACTAGCTCATATCCATGCTACATACGGGGAAAACCACGAAAACGCTCATGCAGCCAGCCCTTTCGAACTCCTGAGCGAACTATCAGTTTTCAGTGGTTTTTACCGCTTGGCTGCTGGTGGACACGATATATAAGCTAATAGAAGCTTTTATTAGAAAATATTTTCATATCACAGTATATTTCTTTTACTTGATGGCACTGGAATTTTTTTACACGTAGTTTTCTTTTTGTACATTTCTTTAATGGACTGCATCTACGTCGAGGAGGAGTTCAAATTTTCGATTGAAGTGTTATAGTAATTAAATAATTTAGAATGGTTCGTCAGCTCATTTTGTTTTGGATAAACAAACTCGGCTGTTTTACAGGGAAAGGGGGTTCAGTTGAGTCTGATTTACCTCCTCTTGATAACATTGAACCATATTTGATTGCATTCCTTTTCCTGAGTATTTTTTGCTGTTTTTTCAAATTTCTTTAATTCTTGTGACTTTTGGTTGATTATTTACACATTTGTAGGGAATTTTGAAATTTACTGGTTTTGAATTTTATTTCTTTTCGATCTTCATGGATATGGTTCTAAATTTCTTACTTTTTGTCTATAACAAATTATAAGGCCTCGGTTCGAATCCCGGAGATGGCATGAATGTTTGCAAATGTGTAGTATTATCGGGGCGGCATAGCGTCACTTTAAATATGCGGCGGGCCGAAAGTTCTCTCGTATGGTTTAGTGGAACGGGAGAGCGGTGGGAGACCCTAGGAAACCGATCCTTCGGGGTGCTCTCCATCAAAATTGGGGGAGGAACTGAGCTAAATCGCATTGTCACCTGTAAGGTGTTCAGTGGCGTAGCTAGGGTGGGGCAAGGGAGGACATCTGTCCCCGGGCGAAGCATCCAAAGGGCGCCAAATTCATGCTACAAAGTTTTTTAATGAAATGTTTTCTACTTCTGGCACACAGAAAGGGGCGCAAATTCTTCAGTTGTCCTCGGGCGCTGGAAACTCTAGCTACGCCCCTGAAGGTGTTTAAGGCTGTTGCCAACGACAGGCGTAACTTGCGCTCCTTGCCACGACAATTTTTGTGGGCTTGGGCTGATGTTGCTGTCAGACAAATGAGCATAAGTAACAAAACACATACACATATATATAAAATACGTGTGTGCAAAGGTTACGTAACTTTACATTTAGGTGGAAAGAACGAATGCTTTCCACGTAAATATTAAGTTCATCAAGACACAAATGTTCATGGAAGAAATAAATTGTTTTAAAAGATAATGCACTTTAGAGGAAAACTACTGAAAGACGCTCACATGCTTGCGAAAATAAAATAAGTAATAAATAAAAATAAAAATTATAAAGTAAATATTATTGTGACATTGAGTACTGAAAACTCTAGTAAACGGAATTTAATCAAGAAATTATGCAATTCGATGGAGCAGTTTATTTCGAAGCGTTATTTTCCTATTAATCTTATTAACAATCGGTAAAATCCTAGTATGCGGTGCAGCCTTGGCGTGACTTTGAAAATTATCGCCAACACCAAAAATGATCCAAAGAACATCTATATATATATACTATACACACATAGTATATGTATATACACACATAGTACATATACTATATACATAGTATATACTATGTTTAACTGTATATTTTCTTTGAATGACCGGTTAACTACTCATCGTATATGTCCCGCTTTTACTGCTCATCACAAAGTCGCCAAAAGTAGCCAAATCCTGTGTGCACCGGATACTAGGATTAAACCTAACGATCTATTTTTCTTATGAAACCGAGAAAAATCTATGCATAAGATTACTGAAGGAAATTCTGCTATGTTTTCCAGCTCTGTAACACGAATTTAAGCTATGGAAAAAATTTTGCCATGATAATTTTACTACCAAAATTACTAAAATGTCATTTTTTTTTAGTTTGTGGGCGGATCTGTTCTCATTCTTGGCTTGAAGATGAAATGGGCACTGTCCTTGCTTTTCCTGACCAGTATACCAATTATTGCCAAAGCGATAGAAGCTGTTATTGCCACAGGCTTCTTTATTTCCCTTGCAGGTCTAACAGGAATTTCCGGAGCGTGCTACGAATGCATGTGGCTACTAATAGTGGTCAGTTTTGGTTCTCTTTTTATTCTAGTTTTGGTTTTTCAGTTGCTAATGTTTCACTGTAAACTGTTGATCAGTTTTTCTCGGATTACTAGAATTGGAAGATTACTTTTTTACTGATGCATATTGTTACATACTAGATTTGTATATTTTTTCAGTTTTATCTCAGTTATTGTTTTTACTGGCCTTTTAGCACTTGGCTTCTCTTGGAGTGATCGTAATTATGGAATTTAGCCTTGGAGTCACTCTGATGTTTGTTAAAAATACGGTAAGAAATTTTTAATTCATTGTGTTTGTCTTCCTCGCCTTGAGCATACGGCGAATTTTATACATATGTTGTATATTTTTTAAATATCTGCTTTTTAAAAATTGATTCTTACAGTTTAAAACGCTATTCTTTAACTCTTTGACGGGCAGGAAAAGGCAGTTAACGTTTTCAGCAAAACTCTTGTTTTATTTACTATAGCAGGTGTTGCGATGAAATTATTTGCAACAATTACACATATTTTGTTTAAGATGCTTGAAAAAAAATGACCACTTCTGGTGGTTAGTGTGAGTAACCACCGCCCACAGAACACATCCCTACAAATTAGTCTCTATAGTACTCATAGGAACAGTTTTTCTTTTTCAAGCAGAGTGCAACTTCGCATGTGCTGCATTCCCACACTGTTCTTACAGGCTTTTCTTGGTGCTGCAGAGTGCACATTGCATTCCCACACTGTTCTTACAGGCTTTTTCTTAGTGCTGCAGAGAGTGCACATTGCATTCCCACACTGTTCTTACAGGCTTTTTCTTGGTGCTTTAGAGTGCACATTGCATTCCCACACTGTTCTTACAGGCTTTTTCTTGGTGCTTTAGAGTGCACATTGCATTGCCACACTGTTCTTACAGGCTTTTTCTTGGTGCTGCAGAGTGCACATTGCATTCCCACACTGTTCTTACAGACTTTTTGTTGGTGCTGCAGAGTGCACATCGTCGTGATGTTGTCTTCGATGGCTGATGCTTATTTTGAAGACGAATTGCTGCATCAACTACTGGCTAGCTTTTTTGATTTGCATCTAGTTACCTACAAGGGAACTTCAGAAACGGTCAGTCTTGAAAACCCCACACACGAGTGAGTAAGACGTTCAATAGAAAAGGTGATTACTGTAGGTAACTACCGCCCTTCAAAGAGTTAAGGCTTGTTAATGAAGTAAATACTGAATATGTTTGATTTCAAAATCGGTCGCACAGTACTTTACATTGCGTAGGAATAAATAAAATGCAATATAACATACTAAACACCCAACCACATTGCATCGAGTTGTAAATAATACCAATGTTGTACCCTGGATCTCAAAATATTTTATCTAGCACATTTCAGCCTAACTGTAAAATGTATGAGCAATCCGATTATTTTCAATTTTTTTAACTTTGGAATATTTTGTGTATCTTGAATTTTCCACATTCAATGAAAACTTTAAGCATATTTTATCTTAATAAAACTATTCAACTTATAGACAGCTGATTTACGTATTCGAAAAGTATTCTTGAAAAACATTCCAGTTATGTTCGTAGAACCATGAATCCTCAAAATAATTATTTCTTTAAAAAGTCAAAGTGTAAGGCCTTTGAATATTTTCAGTTTGAGCCGCGTTACTGTTATGGAATTACTGTACTGAATAAGTGTATAGTTTTAATACAGCTGTTTTGTAAATGATATCAATATCCTATCGAGGAATGGGGAATAAAAAAATTTCCAATATAATTTTAGGATTCTTTCATCCCTGAGTCAAAACTTAATAAACCTTAGATTGAAAAAGAGTGGAAAAAATTTGTAGTTATTGAAAACCCATTTCTTAATGTAATTGCCAAAAATTACCTTCATATAACATAAATTTCGAAATTTAGTTTGTTATCGAAGTTCTGCGGTAACTTTATATTCCACAAAAATCCCAGGATCATGTTGGTGCCGCTTTCGTCACAGAGAAAACAATAGTGGGGGTTCGATTACATACAGTTTGCTCTGAGCTTACTGCAATCCATCTGGCTTTGACTTACCTTTCAAAACAAAAGTACATAAAGTTTATTATCTACACAGATTCCATGAGTGCCTTAATGTCATTGGAAAATTAAGCTCAATGTACTCACCCAGTTGCAACCAGAATCCTGAAGTTGAATCATTCTTTAAAAATTCGGGGATACCAGACTCTTTATTCGTGGATCCCTGGACACGTTGCCATTAAGGGGAATGAATTGGCGGATATTGCAGCTAAAACTGCAACCACAATGTACAATCTTCAGATTCCACTAGCAGACATCAAAGGGTTTGTCAAAAGCAAAATTCTCAGCAGATGGCAGAAGCAATGGGATGACAAAGTATATAACAAGCTGAGAAATGTTAAACCCACCATTGGATACTGGCCATGTATGGCTAATAGAAGGGAGGCCTCTTGACTCGACTGAGAATTGGCCATTGTCTCCTGACCCATGAGTATCTTCTGAAGGGAGAAGAGAATCCCAGCTGCCCAAACTGCAATGCAGATCTGACAGTCCATCACATCTTGGTGGAATGCCAGAGTTTTAATTATTTTCGCCAAAAACATTTTAATTGTTTAGAACTGGACTTAGGAAATTTAATTGGAAAAACACATCATCGTAATTTGTTTCTGTTTTTAAAAGATATTGGCTTTTATAATAGACTTTAACCTGTTTTTAAAAGATATCAGCTTTTATCATAGATTGTAATCTGTCTCTTTTTACCTAAGATAGAAGTTTTTACAAATAACTAATTGCATTGTTACCATTTGTCTGGCGCAGCTAACCTTGACAGGTTTTGTGCCAAATTACAATAATCCAATCTATATTCCACAAAATGTGCTACAAGGTTTGCAGAAGTAAACTATGGCATTACCATAATAAATTGAGAATTAAGGTTGTTTAAAATTAAGGTTAAGTAGGTAGAATTAAAGAAAAAGGAAATAAATCAATAAAGGTACTTACGGTATTAACGCTATCCCCTTAGAAGTCTCTGAAGTTTCAAGGTGCGCCAAAGTCTGAACACTATACAGATAACTCTTCACTTTTAACAAGCTATGTTGTCATTTAATTAGTGTTTTTTTTGTTTTATTTAAAGTTCTAGAGATTTTTACAGATAAATTATGATACTTTGTTCTTTAAACTCAATTTTAAAGTATGCGCTTGTGGAATTTGCCTGCAAGAACTGCTATAAAATTCCAACAGGAATACAATATTTTGCAATCAAATAATTAAAGTAATAATTTGCTTTAAAGCTATTCTTAAAGCAAATTATTGGTTAGGGGCCGCTATAAAAAAGAAGTACCTAAATTCAGCTTCCAGTTTTTTAGAATTCTGGCAAAACGTTTTGAAAAGCTGTTCAAAATGTGGTAATTGTCTACGATCCTTCTTTCATAATTTTATAAATATGTTGCTTAATTAGGGTTGCTTTTTGCGAAAAAGTGGAATTTTCTAATGCATTTCAGTTATCTTTTGACTGTCATGATTTCTACCTTTTTCTTGTTAAAGTGGACAATTGCCGATATTGCTCATGACCATTAAGGTGTTGAGTAAGCTTTATTTCAGCAAATGTTTCAAGCATTAGAAAGCATAATTTATAGCAAAAATACTAATTTGGGACTTACGTTGATTTATGTAAAAGTATTTATGTCTCTTCTTTCTTTTCAGATTCAATCTACTGTTGAAAAATCGGATTGCAGTAGTGTAAGTAATATTTCGAGCATTTTAACCCAAAATTTTATGTTATTGATTATGCGAGATAAAATGAAATTTAAGATAGTATTTATCTTAATTTTGATATTGGTATTTGATAATATTAATTTTTTTGTTTATTTATCTCATTAATTATTGACTATCATGGCTATTTTACATCTAAGCTAACAGAAAACTAATTGAACAATAACCGAGCAGATAACACCGCCTGAACACAAATAGCTCCTCCCCCCGGGTTAGAATACCGACGAATGGACTATTATAACGTAGATACAGCCCAGTTTCACTTAGCCCTTACCTTCAGTTAATAAAAACCTTAAGATAGTGATCAAGTCACGGTTATTACTAACATAACTGATTTTTTAACATGATGTAGTCTCCCATCTAAAACAACCATGATAAACTGAATTTTTGGTAAATACTTTTGGGAATTTTTATAAATCTGACATTCATTATTTTATGAATGATGCATTATAAAATAAGTTTTATCTAATGTAAGAAGATTCACTTACTGAAAGCGTTTGTGGACATTCCTTCATGGAATTTGGGGAACTCTGTAATGCCAAGGTTATGTTTGAAATGCTTAATTAAATAGAAAATGTCTTCGTTAATCTTTGGATTATGTTAACTTGGCGATTTTTTGGCGAAAATTTGGCGACCAACCCTGCTACAGCAAACTGTCAGTTTTATTTTGGACGCCATTTTGTTTTCACTAAGTAAAGGCATGTTTTTTTTACTCAACATTTTTTCCGACAATCTGCTAGCCGAATTACGCTTATACTAGAACTTTTATGGAACAAAAATGCTTAATCATGACGAAGATTAGGTGCGAAATTGGGAGAAAGTGAAGAATCGCCAACTGCTTGCCGCGTTTTTAAGAATTGCTCATACACGGTATCATCCATGTACACGTCGACCTATTTTCACTTAAAAAAACATCTCAGAATTGCACAAAAATGGCATTGCGCACACTCGACTTTATCCATGTACACTGCTAAAGTCCTAGCTAGTAACCTTTATCGCCTTACCAAAATGTCGTCAAACTACCTGTTACCATATTCCAAAGATTAGTCAATGTCTTCTGTTGGGAATCGACCAAAAATACTATTTTAACTGTAGAGAAAAAGTGAATGAAATTTTAAACAAGCTATTGTATATATTTTTAGTTTTGTGCTACAACTCTAGATGCTATGGTTTTGGATTATGCGTTACCGTCAGCTGGCCTGATGATGACAATAATTATACTTGAGGTGAGTATTTTTATTTTTTATAGATGTAAGAGTGATATGTGAAAACATCAAAACAAAATTCCTGAAGAAAGATTTAATGCAATAATTTTTAACATGTCCTTCCCAGGCGCAGTGTCGCCTAGCAATTCTTTTGCATCTACTATAAAGTATTGTATAGTGTATGTATACTAGTTCTGTACAGTGTATGCGCTTGCGATTGCAAATAGTTTTATTGTATTTTAGTAAAAGATTTTAATAATAAAAACGATATAGTATTGTGTATTAGCTCAAACTCTTTGGCATAATTTGCCGATTTAAAAAAAGGTATAACTGATGGTTTAAGTGCAAAAAGCAATACATAGTACATCCCCAATTTGCGTTTTCATACTGCATTATCGTGGAAACCGGTGAACCTAAGCCTGTTTTTTCTATTGTTTGGATACAAATTTAGATGGTTAATATGGCTTTAAGAAGAGATTCAAAGAAGTTGCCCCCTTTAACTGTTTTGCTGCAATATACTGTATTCCTGCAAAACTTTTGGTATTTATCTGTTAACGGAGAAGGATTGGCTAAGTTTCGCGGTAATTTGATACAATTAGTTTTTTTATTTTGGGTGGAAGTTGTTTGGCAGTCGCTACTAAAACAGCTTCGAAGGTTTTTTTTACCATAAGCTGCAACTTTGTCGCCACAAGAACTCCGCTTTATACGAATTCGGTAGTGTCTTGCTGCACCCTTATTTTTCGTTCCATCATTTTAAAGAACTCCATGCATACTCGATGTTTTGCTTTATAAGCTCTGAAAAATGGATCCACAAAGTTAAATTTGTGATTCACCTCGAAAAGCTCAAAACCGATGTCTGAAATTCTTCTGTTTCATAGGCGGCCCAGGAGTCTGAATGAATGGTCGTTTTGTGTTTGATATATTCTTTTACCGAATTTAACGAAGTCGTGACTTTAATACATTTACCGCCGAATGTCTGGGTACAGACGATAATCTTCCACTTTCATGCAATGATTAAGTAAATGGAGGCTTTCTACACTCATGTCCATAAATTAAGGATAATTCGGAGTCACGCTGAAATCGAACTCTAAAATAAATATATCACCTGTAAAATCACTACGCACATCTTCAAGAATCATATGCAAATTTCAGAAAGTAACCAGATGACACCGATGATACGTCACAATGACGAGAGTGTAAGAGAGTGATATATAAGGAATACAGGCAAAGAAGTAAAATTGTTCGCAGGCGCTTTATAAGCATTTCAGTGCAATAACCGAATAGTTATGACACAAAGGACGCATTTGGATGATTTTTTACGTGGTAGAATTATCGGCCGTCTGGAATGTGGGCGTACCCAACTGGAAGTATCAGACGAACTTGGAATTGCCCAGAGTGTCATCTCCAGGCTTTGGCAACGATTCCAAGATGATGGTAATGTGAGTAGACGTTACAGCACAGGTCGCTCCAGAGTTACAACGCCGAATGAGGACCGGTATTTGGCAGTTACTGCCAAAAGAAACAGGCGGAGCACAGCCTCAGACCTGTCTCGTCAGCTCTCTTCAGCCACTGGTACGACAATTTCAAGGCAGACCGTGTACAGACGCTTAGGGCAGATTGGTCTATATGCTCGTAGACCTGTCAGATGCGTTCCACTTACTGCAACTCACTGTCGCCTGCGGTTAGCCTGGAGTAGAGAGCATGCATTGTGGACACCGCAACAGTGGGCTTGTGTGATGTTTTCCGACGAGTCCAGGTTTAGCTTGCAGTCTGATTCTCGCCGGACTTTCATATGGAGAGCTCCAGGTACCCGTTACCACCAAGAAAACATCATTGAACGACACCGTTACGGTGGTGCAGGAGTGCTCGTTTGGGGTGGAATTATTCTGGGTTCCAGAACTGACCTGCATGTTCAAATTGGAACCATGACAAGCCAAATCTATCGGGACGTCATTCTGGAACAACATGTACGTTTGTTTTGGGGCGCCATGGGCGCACAATTTGTGTTATTTATGGATGACAACGCCCGTCCCGATATTCCGTGGTCCACACATTTTAGCATGTTTAGATTTCCGACTGTAAAACATTAACCGCACATTTTAGCAGAGTCAAATAGTTTGAAATCAGTCCTACGCACACGATAAATTTAGATTTCGTTGCGGTATAATGTAATTGAAAACAGTTTTCCTAGTATAATTTTTCTTTCTTTTGAGAATTTTTCCAATCTCCGAACTATATTTCTAAAATGTTCTTTGAATATTCTGATATTTTTGTAATCTTGAGACTAATATGTCTCACCTAAGGTTAGAATATTCACTGCATATTTTAATCGTGGATTAGATTCAAGAAAAGGTTTATCATATCCTTTACAATAGCAGTAGCATTTCTGATTTCCGAGCCGCAATTTAAATCATTCTCAACTAAATTTAATTTGTGACTGGCACAATGAAAACCAACAAGGCCTTTTTATACTTATGTAGCTAGATCTAAGCACCGTTAATATTCCCTGCCATTGTTGAACCTCCATTGCAACTCGTCTAACACATTTACTAGGATCAAAAGTCTTCCCTTTTCAGTGAAATATCTATTTCATTTACTATAATGTAAATATCCATCACATTTAATTCGATAAACCCTTGGAATTCCTCGCGAAACGCCATCTTTTCTTCATCGAAAAATTGAATATCGCTTGTTTCATCTGTCTTGAATATTTGTACTCAATATCTTCCCCGTCTATTGTCTAAATTTATGTATACCTTCTGCTATTATTCTCTCATTTAAGCTCAGTTTCTATTTATTGTAAGCCACAATCATATAAAATATACGCATGAATTTTCACATTGTTAAATAATGAACTTGACTGCAGGGCCTAGGTTTACAAGCTCCAATAAACCTAAGGCCCCGCGTCTTAGGGGGTTGTAAATCTTGTTGTAGGTTCCCATGACTCTGCTTTTGTCTGACAAAAAACAAGGAAAAGGTTTTGTAGGCGTTCTTGGAAGAACGCTGTAACTAAGGCTTCTAACTGTGTCAATCGGGGCTTGGTGAACAATAATTAACATGTATTATGAATGACATTAAATAATACCTAAGATGTCTATGCGTTGCGCAAAATCTGGTTACAGATAGCAATAAAATGCGAAAACTTATCTTCAAAAACCTCGCTTACATTTACACTGCCAAAATGTTAATATGTATTTATATACTAAACTTTTTGTAGGTCACAAAAGTTGATTTTAGATCGACTAATTGAAGATTTAAAAACATAAACAAAAAGCATTAATTTCAAATAAATTTTCCATGGGCAGAAGATGACCGAATATGAAGGAAAAAAAAAGTGTGGTGAAGTTACGTACATACGAGGGAAGGGGAGCAGGGATTTGCATGGCGCATATGACCCTTTTTTTAACTCTGATTAGTTGTTTTAAAGTTTTGAGCTCCCCATCTAAATGTTTTTCGACCACGTCGATATATTATGTTTCACAACATTCCTTTCTTTAATTATTTAAACAACACTAAACTACGTTCAGACGACTGTATAAAGGGCATAAGTAGTTTAAAAGCCGAGCTGGGCGTTGCCAGGCAAACAGTCTGTGCTACATCACAAAAATCTGGTTTAGGGCTCAGGGCATAAAGTTCGAAGTTTTCAACTTTATGCCGACTTGGAATAGTCGTCGACCAATCAGAGCGAACGCTCAAAACCTGAATGAGAAACAGCTGCAAAGCTGTAGACACATCCACACATGAGCAAATTTAGCCTCTCTAAGTGAGTGCGTCTTAGACTCTGTTTGCAGGTGTGAACGGAATCCCCCCATTTTATTCCTTGTGACTATGCCTCTGTGACATTTACACTACATCGCCGTCTGAACGCATCCTAAGAGACAAACTCAAAGTATCGTAACGGCTAGAATTGCAAATCAGATCGCAATAATTTTCTTTTCCCTCTTCCCAGTAACGAACTAAAGAAATCTGTCAAATGTCATCGTCACTAGTTTTCCACAAAGAATCTTTCCCTTTAAACCTCAAGGTACCGAAATTATATTCAGTGCCAAATGAGAGGAGAAAGAAGCAATGCTTGTTTACAATAAATCCCTGGAATTACAACCAGATATCTGTTAAACCTCAATCACATTATGTTTCGGCTACGCGGGACTTGACGTAGAAAGGGACAATTCTCAGAACCCACACAATTCCAGGAAACCGTAGCTAAGTTACCATTTTCACTTACAACAAAGACTTGAAAGCCAAAAAGTAATCGATTATCGCTCAGATTGGGATCATATGATGCTTCAGAAGCAGAACTTTTGTCTGATTGTTTATCTCTACCCGGGACAGAGGTCCAGCCGAGACATTTCGGTGAGGTTTGAAAACAATCCGGCGTAGCCGGAACGTCCTTTCTGTAGCTAGGCGGTACTTCCAGCGGGCTCTTTTTTCTATGAATCCTTCCGCTTAAACCAGTGCTACCAAAATCTCATTTCTCAGAAAAGTGCCGTCTAGCAGGGATTGTAGTCATGTGTGATAACCTCTTTACTGTACATCATTGAAAGTAAAATACAAGTGAACGTAACGTAACAAAATGTAACTTAAAAAAAGTGAACGTAAACAAAATGCTGTCCTAGACGCAATCCTAGATGATCGGTACGCAGTAATTCCAGGGATTTATTGTAAACAAGCATTGCTTCTTTCTCCTCTCATTTGGCACTGAATATAATTTCGGTACCTTGAGGTTTAAAGGGAAAGATTCTTTGTGGAAAACTAGTGACGATGACATTTGACAGATTTCTTTAGTTCGTTACTGGGAAGAGGGAAGAAAATTATTGCGATCTGATTTGCAATTCTAGCCGTTACGATACTTTGAGTTTGTCTCTTAGGATGCGTTCAGACGGCGATGTAAATGTCACAGAGGCATAGTCACAAGGAATAAAATGGGGGGATTCCGTTCACACCTGCAACACAGAGTCTAAGACGCACTCACTTAGAGAGGCTAAATTTGCTCATGTGTGGATGTGTCTACAGCTTTGCAGCTCTGTTTTTCTCATTCAGGTTTGAGCGTTCGCTCTTGATTGGTCGACGACTATTCCAAGTCGGCATAAAGTTGAAAACTTCGAACTTTATGCCCTGAGCCCTAAACCAGATTTTGTGATGTAGCACAGACTGTTTTGCCTGGCAACGCCCAGCTCGGCTTAAACTACTCACTACTTATGCCCTTTATACAGTCGTCTGAACGCAGTTTAGTGTTAATAATTAAAGAAAGGAATGTTGTGAAACATAATATATCGACGTGGTCGAAAAACATTTAGATGGGGAGCTCAAAACTTTAAAACAACTAATCAGAGTTAAAAAAGGGTTATATGCGCCATGCAAATCCCTGCTCCCCTTCCCTCGTATGTACGTAACTTCACCACACTTTTTTTCTCCTTCATATTCGGTCATCTTCTGCCCATGGAAAATTTATTTGAAATTAATGCTTTTTGTTTATGTTTTTAAATCTTGAATTAGTCGATCTAAAATCAACTTTTTGTGACCTACAAAAAGTTTAGTATATAAATACATATTAACATTTTGGCAGTGTAAATGTAAGCGAGGTTTTTGAAGATAAGTTAGCATGACGGCTGTAATAACCTTTGGAGTTGAAAAAAAAGGAAAATTTTTGAGCCAAGAGTTTCCCTGTAAAAATAATCTTGAATAATAATAAGAAACAACAAACCGCTCGTCAACTTTTGCAGGTTGAAATTAAAAAATGTAAAAAATAAGTAAAGCGAAACAAAGGAAAAGAAAAGAAGTAGAACTGCATTCGTTTAGTGAGGTGCAGCTACACCTCCCTATACCCCGCTGGCTACGCCCATGGACCTCATCGTTCATGCCCCCATTCCCGCTCTACCAGCTGAATCTGAAGCCTTATCAGTTTGAGATAATTGGTGTATTCCTTTCTCTTCCTTTTACCCCAATATAAATTTTGCATATGCTACCGAAATAAAGAAAATAATAATTTTTGGAGAAAATTCTTGCATTGTGAATAGAAGCGTTGTCAGTCAAACAGTAAGAAAAAAAGGATATTTAAACAAAAATTATGAGTAATGTAAAGGAAATATTTGACTTTTTTACTATTACCATAAATAGTAATGAAGAGAAACTGCACTGGAACGACGTATGAATGAAAAACGTATAAACTGTGCTTAACTGTATGTACATCCAGTCTTCACACTTGTACATCAACTCACATTAAGCATTTAGCACTTAGCTTAAATTACACATTAAGCACTTAGCTTAAAATTCTCACGAGACTCTCTCCCTTTTTGTGCTATGTGAAAAAGAAAAAAGAAAAAAATGCATTATTGATGTTTCTTGGCGGCAGCAAAAGTGCTAATAAAACATCCATTTCAGCAGCAGCTTCCAAGGAACGATTTAATTTTTATTTATAAAGTGATTATTTATAACCAATAGCTTCATTTTACTTATAAATAAGAGGAATGCATTTATTTAGCTTGTATTGTATTGTAGGGTTTCCCTTATTTTGCATAACAAATTTATTTTAAGTTTGATACCTTTCCTGAACTCCTCAACTTCCTCTCACATTTTCTCTCCAGGATGTAAATAAAGTGGAGTAAGTATTTAAACGGGTCAATCTCTGAGTTTTTCTAACCTGTTTTCTCTAACCAGAGCACGTTTCTCTAACCAGAGCCTGTTTTCTCTAACCAGAGCGCGTTTTGTTGTTATCTCGCTGTTACGCTAGTAGGCATCTTGGCCATTCCGGTTTATCGTCATGCCTGTTAGGTCTTCGTTGAGTTGACTATTTTAGATTTGACTTGAATTATATTCTAAGTTTCAGTTTCGCCGCAAGTTGACAGTGCCACTGTAAAGGACTTAAATAAAGGGTTATTTTCACCTTTCTTCTGTGCTTGGTAATTTATTCACGCCTATGCGAGAATTCGCGAGGTTCATTGTAGGATCTAATTTAGTTTATGTCGAATAACAAAGACAGATCTTACAGTATGTTACTGTTGTGAAATGAACTGAAGTAATAACCGGCGCGAGGCGCTGCTGCTTGTGAGGTCAGCCTGCGTGCTGAGTTTTTTCGAATGTTTTACGTGTGGACGAACGAAAGCTGAGCTCGGAAGAGTGATACTGTTTTGATGGAAATAAAGAATGATTTATTAAGAATTTTTTGTCTTTATTCATAATGCACCCAGCCTCGGGTAGAGGCAGGCCCGCAACTGAACGAACTGTTTTAAATATATTTGATTTATATATTTTCTGTGTTCTTCGTAACATAGTGGTACCCTCGGCGGGACCGGGTGCTTTGAATTAGAATTTTCCGATTGAACTTTTGTTATTGAATTTCGATTTTGAATATACTTTGAAGATGGATTTGATCGCTTTAAAGGCTCAAAGAAAAGGACTTAGAATTGCGTTTTCGCAAACCTCAAGGAAAACCGAAAGTGAATTAACTAAAGAAGTAAGAGATTTGAAAAATACTTTCGATTTTGAAGTGTCAACTTTTGTGATAAATTCCAGAGACTTGACGTATGCCAGAGTGCTATATCGCAGCAAATTCTGCAGACTGAAGATGGAGAAAAATTATTTAGTGATGATTTTCAAGAAGCGGAGAATTATCGAGATAAGTTTCTAGAACAGTGTGCTCAAATAGATGCGGAAATACAAGCCTCTTCTCCTTCAAATAATTCCGAATCTAGGAAATTTAAATTGCCTAAAATTGAGCTTAAAAAATTCAGTGGTGAAGCTAAAGATTACCTGACTTTTTGGAGTCAGTTTCCAGAAAATCCACGATGACAAAAGTATCGCTGATGAAGATAAAATGCAGTATCTGTTGCAGGCCATGGAACCCAAATCGAAGGCAGAACGCCTAGTTCCTTAGCTTCCCGGCAACGGCAGCTAATTATCCTAAAGCCATCGAACAACTAAGAGAGCGCTTTGGACGCGAAGATTTACTTGTGCAAATCTATGTGAGAGACTTGTTAAGCCTAGTGATGAAGAACGCTGTAACCGGAAGAGCAAAAACGGATCTACCCTCCCTGTATGATGAACTAGAAGGAAAATTGCGAGCGTTGGAAAGTTTGGGGAAGAACCCAAGAAAAATATGGGGATTTTTTTGACCCCCTTAGTGGAAAGTTGCTTACCAGAAGAAGTACTGATGGCATGGGAAAGAAGCCAGAAATCACGACTCCATTGAAACTAAAGGGAATCGATCCTTGAAATATTTAATGAATTTCTTAAAACAGGAAGTTAAGGGGGAAGAGATGGTTCTACTCGCAAGAACTGGTTTCGCTTCCCAACAGAACCATCGGAAGAAAGACTTTAACCACGAACAGGTAAAGCAAAATGAATCCCGTAACAGCATCAGCTCTAGTAAGTCTTGAGAATTCAGGTAAGAGTGTTCCGAACTGTAATTTTTGTGAAAAGAAACATTTTAGTGAAAAATGTTACTCTGCAAAAAAAAAAATGACTTTAGCTGAAAAACAACAATTGTTGTTGAAAAAAGGTGCTTGTTTCTCTTGTCTGAAAAGAGCGAGTCACATTAGTAAATTTTGTCCTTTCAAAGGTAAGTTAAGTTGTTCTATTTGCAAAAGTTGTAATCATTTTGATGTAATGTGTAATCAAAAGCTAAAAAATAATGCGATCAGATAAATGTTTCAAAAGAGAGTTCTCTTTCTAACTGTAGCAGAAGCGAAACTGTATTTTTGCAAACGCTTTGCGTTCGAATTCGGTGTCAAGGTCGCGAGAAAATTATTCGCTGCATAATTGATAGCGGAAGCCAAAGTAGCTACGTTAGTGAAAATATGATGAGTCAGCTTAAAGCATCTCCACTTACTTCGGGAAGGAGACAGTTATACATGCACTGTTTGGGGGGGGACGAAACGAAACCTAAACAACATGAAGTGTTTTCGGTCGAGGTCAGCAATTTAAAAGGAACATTCGCATGTAGTTTTGATGAGGCATTATCGGAAAAAAAGATTTGCGGTTTTATTCCTAAGGTTAAGGATAAAGAGATTTTGAATGAATTAAAAGAAAAAGAAATCGAATTTTCGGATCCATTGCGAAAGGAAATTGAAATTAACCTTTTAATCGGAGCAGATGTTATAGGAAAGTTATTGACGGGAAATTCTATTGAATTACAGTCCGGGGTAACGGCTGTCGAAACGAAACTTGGGTGGACGGTATTTGGCAAACGAAATTCGGGTGAAAAGGATAATATTTTGAAAACATTTTCAATGCATGTCAGGAGAATTCCTCTGAATGAGTTATGGGAACTTGAAAAAATAGGAATATGCGCTCCAAACGAAACTGTTAAAATGAAATGAAAGTTTTAATTTATCTGAATTTGAGAACAAAATGAAAATTCTTCCAAATGGAAGATATGAAGTAGAACTTCCGTGGAAATGTGATACGACACATTTAACCGATAATAAAGAATTATCCTGGAAAAGGTATCAAAAGATGATCTATAAACTCAGATGTAGTAAATTTTTCGATGATTATCAAAATGTGTTCAAGGAATGGGAAAGGTTGAATATTATTGAACGCGTACCAGAAAACGAATTGAATAATGAATGTCATTATTTGCCGCATAGGCCTGTAATCAAATTAGGAAGTGAAACCACGAAAATTCGTCCTGTTTTTGACGCTTCTGCATCTGAGAAAGGGAAGACTCTCTTTGAACGAATGTTTGTGTAAAGGAATAAATCTTATTGAATTAATACCTGATATTATAGATCGTTTTAGAATGTATCCGATTGGTATTAGTGCCGATATTGAAAAGGCTTTTTTAATGTTATCCGTCGCATCTAAAGATAGAGATTTTCTCAGATTTTTGTTTTTTTTTTTTCCCCATGCAATGAAGAGACAATTAATTTATAGGCATTGCAGAGTTGTGTTTGGAGTTTCTTCGAGCCCCTACTTGTTGAACGCATCTATAATGCATCTATTAGAAAACTGTCCACGTCAATATAGTGAAGTTGCTCAAAAATTGAAATCGTCATTTTATGTGGATAATTGTTTATCTAGTGTTTTTAGTATTGATGAACAGTTTATGTTTATTGAACATTCCAAATTAATCATGTCAAATGGATGTTTTAACTTGCGCGGTTTTGAAAGCAATGTGGCTGGTACAAATGTTGACAAACATTCAGGGGATACTTCCGTTTTGGGGGTAATTTGGAATTTGGATAATGATACGCTGAGGTGCTGCACAGACACAGATACATTGACCTGTGATACAAAAATCACAAAGAGGACAATTTTGGCAATTGTGCAGACAATTTTTGATCCTATTGGTTTAATAAACGCCAACTACTACATTGCTTCCAAAACTGTTGTTGCAAAAATTGTGGAAAGTGAAAATTGCATGGGATGATGAATTGTCTCCGAATGATGTAAATATTTTTTGAACTGGTTTTAAAGAACTTAATGTTTTGAAAGATGTTACTTTGCCTCGATACTTGTTTATCAATGACACGTCTGAACTACATGTATTTGTGGATGCTTGCAAGGGGGCGTATGCAGCGTGCGTCTTTGTTCGATCAATATTTAATTCTGAAGTAAAAAATAAATCTCGTACGGGCGAAGTCTAGAGTATCGCCTTTGAAATCTTTAAGCATTCCTCGCTTAGAATTAATGGCCTGTTGTATAGGTTCTAGACTTGCAAATTCTATTATCAAAGCTCTCAGTTTGCCCGATTTAAAAGTTACCTTCTGGTCTGATTCAACCACTGCCCTTTGGTGGATAACAGAGCAAGAAAATGGTCCGCGTATTTCAAATGCGCGTTTTATAATGGTATATTCTTTTTTTACTTCTTAATTTAAAACTTGCTTTCAGCATGCTGAGTTTGTATCGTAGTGTGGCTCTATGCTCCGTAAAATGCGAACTGACTATAAAAATTTATGAATGTGAAAGGAAGATATTCATTTGAAACTTTAAATAAATGGAATAAATAATACGCCGAAGGAATTTCGAGAATTTTGTTTAAAAATTTTATTAAGATTTTAAATCCAAAATGTTTTGAAATTAAAGAAAAAAATATGATCTTGAACATTTTGGAAGAATTAACGCCCCTCGGATTGAATCCCTTCGAAGACTTTCGACGCCCCCTCGAAGGAACTAGAAGAAACTTAGAACGCCCCCTCGAACATTTAGAATGCCCCCTCGAAGACTTCGAATTCCCTTCTCGAAGACTTAGAACGCCCTCCTCGAAGACGTAGAACGCCCCCCTCGAAGACTTAGAACGCCCCCCCTCGAAGACTTAGAACGGCCCCCTCGAAGACATAGAAACGCCCCCCCTCGAAGACTTAGATCGCCCCCTCGAAGACTTAGAACGCCCCCCCTCGAAGACTTAGAACGCCCCCTCGAAGACTTAGAACGCCCCTTTCGAAGACTTAGAAACGCCCCCTCGAACATTTAGAATGCCCCCCTCGAAGACTTCGAATTCCCTTCTCGAAGACTTAGAACGCCCTCCTCGAAGACGTAGAACGCCCCCCCTCGAAGACTTAGAACGCCCCCTCGAAGACTTAGAACGGCCCCCTCGAAGACATAGAACGCCCCCCTCGAAGACTTAGAACGCCCCCCTCGAAGACTTAGACGCCCCCTCGAAGACTTAGAACGCCCCGCTCGAAGACTTAGAACCCCCACTCGAAGACTTGGAACGCCCCCTTCGAAGACTTAGAAACGCCCCCCTCGAAGACTTAGAATCCTTTCCAAGACTTAGAACGCCCCCTCGAACATTTAGAATGCCCCCTCGAAGACTTCGAATTCCCTTCTCGAAGACTTAGAACGCCCTCCTCGAAGACGTAGAACGCCCCCCTCGAAGACTTAGAACGCCCCCTCGAAGACTTAGAATCCTTTCCAAGACTTAGAACGCCCCCTCGAACATTTAGAATGCCCCCTCGAAGACATAGAATTCCCTTCTCGAAGACTTAGAACGCCCTCCTCGAAGACGTAGAACGCCCCCCACTCGAAGACTTAGAACGCCCCCTCGAAGACTTAGAACGGCCCCCTCGAAGACTTAGAACGCCCCCCTCGAAGACTTAGATCGCCCCCTCGAAGACTTAGAACGCCCCCTCGAAGACTTAGAACGCCCCCTCGAAGACTTAGAACGCCCCCTTCGAAGACTTAGAACGCCCCCTCGAAGACTTAGAATCCTTTCCAAGACTTAGAACGCCCCCTCGAAACATTTAGAACCCCCCTCGAAGACTTAGAACGCCCCCCTCGAAGACTTAGAAACGCCCCCTCGAAGACTTAGAACGCCCCCCCTCGAAGACTTAGAACGCCCCCTTCGAAGACTTAGAACGCCCCCTCGAAGACTTAGAACGCCCCCCTCGAAGACTTAGAACGCCCCCCTCGAAGTCTTAGAATGTCCCCTTGCCCCCCAAGAAGACTTAGAACGCCCCCTCGAAGACTTAGAACGCCCCCTCGAAGACTTAGAACGCCCCCTCGAAGACTTAGAACGCCCCCTCGAACATTTAGAATGCCCCCTCGAAGACTTCGAATTCCCTTCTCGAAGACTTAGAACGCCCCCCCTCGAAGACGTAGAACCCCCCCTCGAAGACTTAGAACGCCCCCCTCGAAGACTTAGAACGCCCCCTCGAAGACATAGAACGCCCCCTCGAAGACTTAGATCGCCCCCTCGAAGACTTAGAACGCCCCGCTCGAAGACTTAAACGCCCCCTCGAAGACTTTGAATCGCCCCTCGAAGACTTAGAATGCCCCCTCGAAAACTTAGAAATCCCCTCGAAGACTTAGAATGTCCCCTCGCCCCCTCGAAGACTAGAACGCCCCCT